CGGGTTGGGTTGCGCTTCAGCCGTCAGATTGGTCTGACCACCAGATCCTCCGGCCATTCTCACACGTGATCGTGTGCCGGACGCCACTTTCCGAATGTCGCAATTTTCGGGAGTGGCAGTGCGAAGGATTCCCGAGCCGCTCTCATACCATGCTGCGATCAAAAGATGATCTCTGCCTGGACCTACTCGGGAAGGTTCGCAGACAGAGAAGTAGAGAGTTGGTGGGCCCTTGACCTCAATAGCAGAGTGAATGTAAAATGCTTGAGATGGATTAAAACATGCAATTACAACGATATAAATAAGAGTACAGGGGAATACGAAACGACCTAACTAGCCATGTACTCTAAGGGGTACATTCCCTTATTCAAATTCATTCCCAACCGTGCGGCGCGTACAGTTACGAAACTGTTCCTGCCAAAACCCTCCTGCCTGCAGCTGCCCGATGTCGTCTGCTTCCGACGGTCCAGATGCATCCTAACCGTCTGACGCTTCGAGTCAACTTTGACTCTTCGTGTTCGTTCTCGATACTGCATGCTTCCTTAGCTGCGGTCGGGAATGTAATGTTCTTCGTTCATTACTATTCGTAACAAAGGAGTGGCGCGTTGGTAGGAAACCTTCGGGAATGCTTATAATAACCTTTCGGCCCAACAGCGGTGGCGTTACGGAAGTGGTTCGGGGCGAAAACGTAGGCAAAAAACGTAGCTGATACAATGCACTCAAACATTTCCGCAAATGTGTGTCTAGAGTTAGGACGCGGTGAAAGTGACAAATTTGAAGGATTGTGAGAGAATATCGATTTTCACGATCGCTTTGGGGAATTGATCGGTGAAACGATGCACATCCGGCGTTGTAACGATTGGAAAAACTGTTGAGCGCTGTGTTCCATTCGCCGGGATCACTTTGGCGCGGAGAGGTTACCCGCTTTACAACAAATTCGTACAAGCTCGAGTCAGGGCCCAAAATAGGTTTTAGCTCACTCTTTCAAATCAGGGTGGCATCCCCTCCGTACCCTGACTGGTAGGGTAAAGTTTCGAGTACACTGATTGTAGCAGCCTAAAAGTTCAGGTACACTGATTTAGGCAGGGTAGTACATGGCATACACTGTTTCCTTCCTAAACATAAGTTTTAACTTCTGCAACAGTTACTTAGTCACTAAAGTGTTCTGCACTGCACCTACAAGCTTTACTACCAACCAAGTTAAATGAACCAAGCTACACAACACACTGGTCAATCAACATCTGCTGCACTAGCAACTGCCTCGTCTGTAAACTGCGCACTGCTGGCCTTCATGCCGGAGAAGTCTTTGGTGGATCGCCTGAGCTTCTCCCCGCGGAATATGGCGACCACCTCGTACCAGTCAATGTCGTACTGCAGGAGGGAGCACGGCATCAGGTGCTCAAGGCTTGTGTCGCCGAGGCTGCCGCGGTCCCACGTCTTGATCAGGTTCTGCTTGCTGAAGCCGCGCTCACATTCAACCGTGCTAAGTGGTAGCACGGCGACAGACTGCCACATCCGGACGATGTTGGGGAACAACGCACGCCACGCCTCGTCGCGCAGCATGTTCCCCAGCGCCTGATGAAACTCCTCGCCGTTGTGCTGGGAGAACATGGTCGAGGTAAACATCCAGAGCTCCTGGCCGGCACGCTTGTAGTCGAACCCTGGTAGTGCGGAAGGGGATGATCATTGGCATACGCTCACACATACGGGTAGGATTGGGAGGCATTAGTCCACAATACAGGGCCGGGTGATGAGTAGCAAATAGCGCGATCGGAAACAAGCTGGTGCAAAGCTGTTTACGCAAGTCAATGACCAATACCCCGCCCTTCTAACAAACACGCTTACCAGGCAGCTTGTGGTTGTACAGCTTGTGGAGCTGGCCAAGCCACTTCCTGAAGGACTCCAGGCGCTGTGTGTCGTCGGACACATACGACGCCATACGAAACAGCTTGGCGCCTTCGAGGAGGCTGAGGTCGCGCATGCGCCACTCCAGCTCCGAGTCCACCTTGCGGATGAACTTGAGTGAAAGCTCGAAGCAGGCGGTTACATCACCTTCTGTCTCATGGCCTGGCAGGGGGCGTTCGTGCAGAGCGAATTCGAAGGAGACGGCGTTGCCGTCCGCGTCCACGCCTTCCGCTTTCATCTGCCGCTTATCCATCTTCTGGTGGGCCTTGATGAAGTCTGGCAGCTGCATCTTCTCACCGCTGCCAAAAACGTGACCAGGGGACCTGTCGAAGTAGCGCGTCTTCAGGCGCATCCGCGTCTGTTGTACAAGGTGCGCCACGAGGGTGACGTCCACCTGCACACACAAAAGACATGCGGTCAGAAAGAGCATTGTGGGCGTACGTGTAAATACAACTGTGCTTGTTAGCACGTTACCTGACGTTGCTGAAAGCGCAGATTTAGCTGGTTGAGCTCCCAGAGCACATCCGCGAGGAAGCGGATGAGCCAGCGGAACTTGAACGAGGTGACTACCTCGTACAAGTCCTTCTTGTAGTCCTTCAGCACGACGATGGCGGCAGGCAGAACGTCTAGGAAGCGCTGGACCGCCTCGCCACGGGAGAGCCAGCGCACATCGTTTATGCCCTGCGCCTCCAGATTCGTCTGGCAGTAGACGCGCTGGAGATTTTGAAACTTGGTGTAGTCCACGCTGCTGCGGCCGATGTGCTCGGAGAAGGCACGCACCACGTCGTCCACCATGCCGAGCTCGGGGACTGCCTCCGCCGCAACCTTAGCAGCCAATGCCTCCCTGCGCATTCAACATAAGCATGTTAGTAAGGTTTGCGCGTCACTGATCCGGTGCTGGAAAACACTCAGACTCCAACATGCGTACCTGTGAGCGACGCAGTGAGTTGAAGCCAGGTGTGGTATGCGCAGTCGCAGCCTCGCGACTAGACCGTTGTTCTTGCCGGTCATGACACTCGCCCCGTCTGTAGATATTCCAGAAATCCTCTGGAGATCCAACCCGATTCCTGTAAGGTACTGCACAACAGCAGAGGTTAGGGAGGCCGCATCGGCACGGTCCACGGTAATGAGAGTTAAAAACTCCGTTACCAGAGTTACCCCTTTGAAGAACGTCGCATACAGTATCAGGTGCTTGCCATTCACCCGGTCGGTGCTCTCATCCAGAAGAATCCCTATGTATGGGGATTCCAGCAGGTGGCCACGTTGAGTCTCTTGAAGGTAAGTGGCGGTTGCGCGCAGCATCTCTTTGAATCCGTAGCTGCGAGGACAACACACATGGCACACGAACACAAGTAGCATTAGCATCTGATCAGCTTGAGTCGCGGCCCAAACACAAGCGCCACGAAATCGCACTTACTCGGTGTAGTAGGCGCCGTACCCTCCAGACGGTGGAAGGTCCAGCAGTCCTTCCTTAGCAAGAAACCAGCACAAGGGAACAAACATGGCTATTGGCGCGTCAGCCTTGCAGATGAACAGCGCGATGTGGAGGCAGCGGATGATGTGCCGTGTAGCTGCATCAGTGCTCTGCCACGTTGTTAGTGTGGCTTGCTTCGCCTTCTCCGCGTCTGCTTTGGCCTCGTTGTCCAAGGCCTGCTTGTGGGCTCTGCTTGATGTGTGCGCGCGGATGCTCCCTAGCTGCATGTCTCGCGCACCCTCACCTCTGACGCCGTAGGCAGTGTGCGCGTTCGGATCCCCGTGCTTGATGCAGATGGCACATCTCAGTGAAGGCCTGCCGTTAGTCATGCGCATTAAGCGCAACCAACTGAATTTCTTTGACCATTGCGAATCGAAAGTCGTTTTTACCAACTCATACTCAGCCTCTGCAGAAGCGGTAGGAGGCTTCGGCTGAGCAGGAGCAGCACGGCGTGGCGGTGATGCCGCTTGTCGTGGAGGAGGGGCGCCCCAGAGCCTCTGCTGCTTGTATGTCACGCCGACACGCTGTCGCTTCAAGGGCGCGGAGCTAATTGTGGACGGGGCTGCAGTGGCCGGCTTCGACGGGCCTTCGCCGCCATCGGGAACAAGCTCGAGAGACGGGTGTGGCTCCCGGGACTTTGGCGAGGCCGAACGCTCGCACGGGAAAACGGTGCCGACAAGACATTCAGGGGATGGCTCACGCGCAGGCTGAGAGATAGGGACGCTATAGTTTTCAGCCAGCCGAGGTAACACACCGAGAACGGAGAGACCGTTCCTGGTGCTACCAGGCGGATCAGGCTCAGATGCAGGCATTCGGTAGAACAAACGAGAGGGAAACGAGAGAATGGCCAGAGCCTGAGAGACCCCTCGGGAATCACAAAGCCCAAGGCGCCTCAGGCCGCAAGGTTCCCTCGCTGGTAGGGAACTGCATGGCAATGGCTGCAAGGCCACAGTGACTGCCAGGTGGTGGAAACGACAGCACGTACCCCACCTGGCGCGCAATTTAGCTCCGTTGGCAGTGCGCGATGTTGCGTGACGCACGGTAACTGGGTGCGTTGGCTTCAATGTTGCTCAACGGACCAATCGTAGCTGTGCGGTGCCATCCGCATTGAATGTACGTTGGCGCGCCTGTGGGTGTATCCAACAAATGGTCCAGTGGGACCGTGGAGGAATGCGGACTGTGGCGGAATCCGCGGTATAGGAAAGTTTCGGTAAAAGGGTAGTTGAACCTCTACCCTGATACAGTCAGTGTAATTGGAAAAGCTTCAAGAGTACTTTTACGCGTATTCTGATTGCACTAGGGTAAAAATTTGCATACCCTGATTCGAAAAGGGTAACTGCCAAAAAGAGGCCTATGAGCAGGGCAAAAAGGGTAAAATACCCTTGAAATTTGGGGCCTGACTGTTACGTCGCAAGCACTTGGATCAGTCATTACTGTAATGCTCGGTTCGTCGGCATTTGCTTCCCAGCGAAGCCGCGAATGTTAGTGTATTTTGTCTAAAATTGTCACTGTAGCTGGGTTACTTGTCGGGTAACCGTTTCACAGATCGATCGCGACAGACGATCGATCGTCTACTTTCACCGCGTCCTTAGGGTGAATGTTCCTTTCACTCCCTATGATTCCAATGATTCGCAAATTTACCATGTACAACCTCTCGAGACCGAACTCCTTTTGGCGCATAGAAAGAGCGTGGTACCGCGTGCGAAAGTTCGTTCTTGCGACGACTCTCGCGCGAGCACACGAGACGTACGATCTCGTTTTCTGCTGAACGAACTCAATTACGACTACTGACGAGAAATATATCAAGCCCACAATCAACCTTCGTTTGGTTCGAATCATCAAGCGGCAAGATGGTGCTACGCCCTGATTTCCGTACTTCTCTTTGTGTCAGATCTCCGTGACGACCAAATTCTACCACTCGCCCAGGCTCTGTGTGACAGGCAATTCCCTCCGACTATTTCTCTTCTCATGGTATTCCCTCTCGCCTAAGCCGCAGCGTCGGCCGTTTGCGCGCCAAGACCATTCCCGTGATCCGGCTCACCACGGTCCCATCGTGCGCCGCCTTCGCCCGCCGCGCAAAGTGTGTGCGCTTGACCGCCGCGCACCTCGACACACCTCGATCGCTCGCACGTCGATCGCACGCACGTCGATCGCTCGCACGTCGATCGCACGCACGTCGATCGCACGCACCTCCTGCGACGTGTAGCTGCTTGTAAGTCCCGTTTTCCCCCTCCGCCCCTCTCGGCGCACTCGCCTCTCCACACACTCGCCTCTCCACACACTTGCCTCTCCTCGCCCTCATCTCTCCGCGCCATCATCTCTCCGCGCCCTCATCTCTCCGCGCTCTCATCTCTCCGCGCCCTCATCTCTCCGCGCCCTCATCTCTCCGCGCCCTCATCTCTCCGCGACCTCATCTCTCCGCGCCCTCATCTCTCCGCGCCCTCATCTCTCCGCACCCTCGCCTCTCTCGTTCGCCTGTCCCCTCTTGCCTCCCTTTCCCCCCTACCCCGTTTCTCCCACCACCTCTCCTCAATACCTTTCCTCCTTTTCTTCCTCGTTCCTGCTCTACCTTTTCCTCCTTCCCATCCACCGCGCATCTCGCCCTCCCTCCCCCTCCCTGCCCCCGACAACACTCCCTCCCATCCGTGCCCCACAACTCTTCCCTGCCTTACCGCTCTGTGGGACCGCCTCATGCCTTCCTCCTGCCGCGCTTCTCGGATGCTTTTTCGCCCCACCACTCTCTATCTGCCCCTCTCCACCTGCCCATCCCACGCTGCCTCTTCTTCCCCCCCTGCCTTCCCTTCGTACTTCCCTTCCCCCCCCCCCCCCCCGCTGCTCCTCCCCCTTACCCCCCACTCCTCTCCCCTGCCGTTCTCCCTTCACCTGTCCGTGTCATGGTGCCGTCTGCAGCAGCACCCTTGGTGGGGCCAGAGTCAGGGCCAGCCACGTGTCAGGGCCAGCCACGTGTCAGGGCCAGCCACGTGTCAGGGCCAGCCACGTGTCAGGCCAGCCACGTGTCAGGCCAGCCACGTGTAAGGGCCAGCCACGTGTCCACCAAGCGCCATATCGTTAATCTTCCCTCCCTAACTTCTCCCCCCCCCTCCCCTCCTCTCTTCATCCTGCCTCCACCACAGGGGACCGTGCACGGCTGGTGGGCGGGAGGTCACTTGAGTGCATTCGACGTTTGTGTCGACTCGAACAACGTGTGGTGTGGCGCCACACGCGGCACTAGCAGCATGCAGCCTCAGGTGCGGTACTGGCAGCATGCAGCCTCAGGTGCGGCACTCTGTGGTTGCATGTAACATGCGCATTGGATTTGGGCTATGGGGTAGGGGTGAGTGAGAGTGATGGCGTACCATCTAAGGGGTCTCTCTCTGTGTCCGTCCATGTGAGCAGGCAGAAGGACCCAAGTACGCCCATCCGCAGGTGGTCTTCTTCACCTGCTTCTTCAAGGTCAGACGCTCACCCTTTCCCACATGCATGCATGCATGCGCCATGCACTCACTCACTCACACATGCATACATGCGTCATGCTCTCACTCACTCACTCATGGGTACATGCGCCATGCACTCACTTACCCGCACTGCACACCACATCCTCACATCACCTGCCTCTTCAAGGCCATGCACTCTCCCGCTCTCTCACTCCCACTGCATGCATACCACATCCTCACGGACAGATAAACGCTTACACTATGCATGAACGCAGACCTGCATAAATGTGCATGCCACTTCCTCACATTGCATGATAATATACCACGTTCGACCGTGCCCCATATCGCCACCCCTCTTTCCGCTCCTCACCGCTCTCGCCATGATTTCCTATTCCTGCAGCTGGTTCACAAGCAGCTTCGTGATGGGCTTCACGCTACCCACCAGGCGGCAGCTCTGTGGTTATACACATGCTGAGCAGCTCTTCACTCTTCTCTTCCTCTTCCCGCCAGGCACCAGCACTCCTTCATCTCAACTCCACACAGCACCCCGCCGCCCTACATCACAGGCAGCCGCACTGGGCTTCTACCTGCTGGGAAGCTGGTGTGTGTGCTGCTCATCGCTCTCGACTTTTCCTCCCGGCCACCCACAGGCAGCCGCATTGGGCTTCTACCTGCTGGGCAGCTGGTTCACGAGCAGCTTTGTGATTGACTTCGTGGTGTGCGTGCTGCTCATCGCGCTCGACTTCTGGGTGGTGAAGAACGTGAGCGGCCGCATCCTCGTGGGGCTGCGCTGGTGGAACGAGACTGATGAGTCGGGGGAGACGCTCTGGCACTTCGAGTCGCTCGACCAGGCGGTGGGTGGAGTGCGGTGGGGAGTGGTGGGTAGTGCTAGAGGTGGTGGGACTGGTGGGAGTGGTGGGAGCGGTGGGGGTGGTGGGTTGGTGGGGTGGTGGGGATGGTGGGGATGGTGGGGCATGAATGGCTGGACCAGGTGGTGTGGAGCATAGTGGGGAGTGGTGAGGAGTGGTGGGGGATGGTGGGGCAATGGTCCTTTCCCTCTTCTCAGGCTAGACCAGGCAGTGACTGGGGCATGGTGCGAGGCGGCATGTGCAAAATCGTGGGAGGTGGTGGGCGTGATCGTTCTTTCTGCTCATGCTCTTGGTGTTTTCTTTTTGTGCCCTTTATCCTGTCCTTTCTCTCGTCTCTCTACCTTTTTCCCCCCTAACTATTTTTCACTCTCATCGCTCTTCCTTTCCTTTCCCCTTCATCCCTCTACCATCTCTCCACGCTCTTTCTCTCTCCATGCTCTATTTCTCTCTCACCTCACTCCAACTTCTCTGTCGCTCTACCTTGCACTTCCCTCACTACTTCCCTCACTCTAACTGTGTCTCCCGTCCCTCGCATCCCTTTCATTTCACTCCTCACATGCACCGCACGGCAGTCGTTGGACCAGCTGAGCAAGACTGACGCATGGGTCTTCTGGTGGACACTCTACTGCACGGTATGGTAACGCGGTTACACACACTCTACTGCACGGTATGGTAACGCGGTTACACACACTCTACTGCACGGTATGGTAACGCGGTTACACACACTCTACTGCACGGTATGGTAACGCGGTTACACACACTCTACTGCACGGTATGGTAATGCGGTTACACACACTCTACTGCACAGTATGGTAACGCGGTTACACAACCTGCGCCGTGGTACTGTAGTATTGTGATCACACATCCTCTACGTCGCATCGTGGCCTTTTTTTCTCACGTTCATTCTGAATCCAAGTCATCCTTACTTGCTCCACAGTGTCCATCCACCTCATTCCTCATGTGGTCTCATCCATCTGTGCTTGCGTGTTGAACTACATGTGTGCATCTGTGAGTGTGTGCATGCATGTGTTTGGCCACATGGATGACAACATGTTGGATATATACGTGCCTGAGGTTGTGCGCACATGTGACTGTGAATACATGTGACTGTGAATACATGTGACTGAATACATGTGACTGTGAATACATGTGACTGTGCTTACATGTGACTGTACACGCATGTGACTGCCCTCCTGCCTGCCTGCACATTCACAGCCAGCACTATGGCTGGGGCTGGGCCTCATCCAGGTCATCCGGCTGAGCTTCGACTATCTGCTCATTGTCATCGTGGCTCTCGTGCTCGGCGCCGCCAACATCTACGGCTACACCAAGTGCCGCCGAGGTGCCCCCTCCTCCCCCCCCCCCCCTCCCCTCCTATACTCTCCCCTTTGCTCTCCCCGCCCGTGCTCTCTCCCTTGCTCTCCCACCCCTTGCTCTCCCCGCCCGTGCTCTCTCCCTTGCTCTCCCCTCTTCTACCCTTCCCATTGCTCTATCGTGCAGTTGCGCGTGTGTATCCATTTTTCACGAGCACGTGAAATAATATATTTGAATGCGTGTGTGTGGTACGCCCTTATGCTTATACTTGTGCATGTGCATGTGCATGTGTATGTGCATGTGTATTTGTATGTTCATGTGTATGTGCATGTGCATGTGCATGTGCATCTGCTTATGCACTGTACGTGTTCGTGTATGTGTTCGTGTTCGTGTATGTGTATGCGTATGTGTGGCTTTGTATGAACATGCACAGATGCCAAGAAGCAGATCCAACAGTTTGCAGCACAGACCATGGCACAGAATTTCGCCTCCACTCTCACCTCTGCCCTTGCGGTCTGAATACCTCCTAATGAAGTGCAACACAGGGCCGTAACACTCTAGTAGAAAGGAAGTCCATCTGAGCATGGGATTTGGTTGCATGCTTCTTGATTATTGAAAGTCTTCTTCATATGGATGTTTTTGGCTTAACACTGGACTGTCTCTATCTAGTAGGACGTGAGGGTGCGCATGCAGGAAATGTTTTGGCAGCTTGCTCAGTATTCGTCTTTCTTATGATATTCGTTTTTTGGTATTTTCTAAGAAAACTGAACTAGGGATGTTTCTCTGACTATAGCGAGGTTCTTTGTTTAGAAATACTTGGGCGCTGAAAATGCAAGCCTCCTCGAAGCGCACGGCCTTCGCGGTTCGTCAATTTCTAGAAGAGCACATTTCGAAAGTGCCCTGGCGGAGCAACTGCTCTGCGAATTTGTTTCGAAAGCTCCGTCATCCATCGGATGAAGCTGATGATGTTGAAGCATTTATTCTCTTCGTCTAGCCCAATTCGACAGGAATGCTGAGCAAAAAGAGACGACCAAAGGGCTCCATCATGACGGAGCGTCGTCTCTTCAGTGAGCGTATGCTATGGATCCTGCCTGTGCTAGTCTACGCAACCTCCGCTGCTGATTGTGTTGCTGCCGCCAGACCTTGGCCGTCAAGAATTGCCCCTGTTACCACGGTTGGAAATAGTAGTCGCTTTCAATGGCTGTCTAGCGCCAATGCGCCTCGTGTCATCTTCTCACGTACTTCGAGGTACGCTTCTCTGGAACGGAGCCCTATTCTTTGTCACAGCACGTCGTTCCTTCATTTCTCGTTCAAACAGGCACTACAAATTACAACATACAAAAACTGATGCTAATTCGAATCTAATCCCATAATCTTGCGTTTGACAGGAAGCAGGCTTTCAACTACTGGAGCTATCTCTCTGGAGCCGCCCCCGCGCTGCTGCGCGAGATGCAGGCGGAGATGTTCTCGACAGCAGCGGCCCTGGGGCTCGTCAGTAACGGCGAAAGGGGCAACTCTGGTAACCTGGACCTTTCACGAAACGCGCAGAGTCAGTTCAACACGGCCGTGCCATCTTTTGGTATTCCTGGTCTTGCCCTGCTGGGTCGACGACTGCTCGATCGCCATGACCATTTGCGAAGTAAGAATTCAAGAAGATTGAATATACCTTTTAGAGTACTACCGCTACCACCATGATGAATTTGTTCTAACTAAGCTGCACAAAACCCTCTCCCTTCTCAACCATCTGGCGTGCAGGGAAGCTTGAGTCCCTGCGGATCGCTTCAGCCCTCCAAGTGGTCACGCGCGTGTTCGACAGCAGCAGCGGCAGCAGCCGCAAGCAGGTGGGACCGAACGCGGGCATGGGCGCGTACGCGCAGAGCGGCAACATCGGCAGCATCAACAACCAGAACACCGTCAACGACCAATCCGCGGACGCCACCAAAACTGGCCCTGGAACTCCCGGCGTCATCGCGACGCCGTACTCGCAATACCAGCGGCGCGGGGCGACAGCGTACCAGACCAACACGCAGTCGCAGACGGCGACGACCAATGGCATCACGCCAACGTACCAGTTCGGGTCCACGTCAGCGACCAACACGATCACGGCCGTAGGCGGGGGCGCCGGGTACGGCGGGTTGGGAGCTCTTGCGGGGGGCACGGGGGCGGCGCTTGGCTCGCTGAGCAGCGCGGGGGTGCCGTTTGCGACGGTGCTCATGTCGACGAATCCGACTGGCGATCCTGTTGGCACAGGGGTGCGGTGCGTGAGCCAGTTTGCCGGCGGCGGGTGCAGTGAGGAGGGGTTTCTGCCCGCTGCTCATGCGAGCGCGAGGCCCATCGAGGTGATCTCTGAGCTTGGACCAGCAAGGGCGTAGTAGGAGATCAGTGTTGCAATGCAGGAGTGATTCAGTAGGCTGTACAGTATGATGCCGTTGTATGGATGGTCTGTGTAGTCGAGATCTAAATGCGAATATAAAGTACCTACTTATTAAATGTTATCCACCCGAAGGATGCCTTTGCGCTGCTTTGCTAATGGCACGACGAACCGCACGGCTGGTCAGGACGGTTCCCGGTTATCACCTCGTCGCTGTCGCCATAGCCCTCCCCAGTCGTCGCTTGCACCAGCGCAAACTGGGACTGCGCAAGGCTCGCCTCTAGTGCGGCGCTCTGCGACCGAGAAGCCGCGAGCTTCCGCTGCGACTGAACGAGCTCGCCTGAAAGAATGGCGACTTTCGCCTCGAGAGCCGCGATTGCTCGCCTGCTCGCAGTCGCTTCGTCCAAAGCCGACTGCACCTTGGCGTGCAACGCCGGCGCGATGTGTTCGTGTTGCCACTGTGCGACGGAAGGCGACTGCCTTGCGACGGATGCGAAAGCGTGACTCTCGATACCATTGCAGCCCCAGGGTTGCTGGCTCTGCATGACGAATTGCTCCTGTGCCGCCGCTTGGTGTTGTTGCCGCGCCTGCTGCTGCTGCTGCAGCAGTTCCAAAAGCGCAAGCATTTGTGGGTGATTCGTCCCCTGTCGCGCGTCGACGCCGCACGAAGGAGCTCGCGAACGGGACGCAGGCGACCACTGCCATTGCGGTAACCCCATCGCCGTGTTCGCGGCGTCGATTGTGAGGCTTCCTTCCGACGCCATCAGCGGCGACGACGACCGTCGCACAAGCTCGCTGGGCGCACACGCATCGACGGAGAAAGACTGGCGCAGGCTAGTAGACGCGTCGGCGCCGACCGAAGCCGCCAATCCGCAGCCGCAATATCGGTCTTGAGCGGCGTTAGCAAGGGTGCACTGAACGGCGGGAGCGCCGTGCGTCGCTGGTGAATCCTGTGTTGGCAAGACGAAGGACGATAGATACGACTCTAGCCGCTGCCTCTTGGTCAGATTAGGCGGGCTCACGAGCAGCGGCTCTGCCGCGCTTGAGGCGAGAGTAGACTCGCGTAGCGCGGCCGCTCGGGCCGCTTGGGCCGCTTGGGTTGCTTGAGCCGCTTGGGCCGCCTGTAACCGCTGCTGCTGCTGCTGCAGGCGAGCGACGAGCAGTCGCTGAAGCTGCTCGCGTAGAACGTCGCTGGCGGCTAAGGCAACTAAGGGGCTCGGCGAGGCCGGCGATACCTCTCGACCTCGCTTTTGGCCAGAAGCAATGGCTGAGCCTGCGAGCGCCATGATTGATAATATTGATTGTGCGTAGAGAACGAGCGTTGCTCGCGGTATCGTTGGAACAAGTCGGGTGGTTTGCAAGAAATTCTTGGTATGAGTCGACAAGCTATTTCAACGGTAAGCTAATGCGCCCATTGGGATCTACGGGAGGCGGATTCTATGCAAGGAAGCCCAGTAGCAACCGAGAAAGATTTTAGCAGCTAGTAGCGGTGGTGACACAGGGTGGTATGATGGTCTGCATTGGAATCAGCATCCGGACCTGAGGCGCCAAGCTTGATGTATGATGGGAGTACACGCATGGTGCGTTGGTGTGTGGGACCTAGCGCCTGATGTAGAAAGATGCTGTTGGCTTGGGATACACGCATCAAGAATCCAGATTTCCATTCAGTGCGGTGGAACATGGTTATGCTCGCTTAAGACGCGGTTGCACATGGTAATGAGGAAGGTGGGGAAATGATTTTGTGAGCTGAAAAGCGTGTCTTGTCCTCAGGTAGAGCGGAAACAGGTACAATGGGTCGCTCTGTTCTCAAGGCCCATCTCTGGCTGTGGTCACGCTGTGCAAGGGCGTGTCCAAAGTGAAGCTTCGAATGGATGACGCTGGATGTCGGTAAATGTCAACCCTCGGATCAAAAGTTCCAACCGTCAGGATTTGCCGACATCGGATGACGCTGGAAGTCACGTTCACTTCGGACCTGCCCTAAGCTAAAATTCCTACAAATTACTTAGAAGTGGCTGCGGATAAATATACTACCCTTCTATATCCGGCAACCTAATGGTATTAACAATATTAGGTCCAGAAATACACTCGCTAATTCAGGGCTAGTTCGCTTCGCTTGTATACTGTACTAGACAAATCCCTTTCGAAATGGCTAACGCACTCATGAAATGGAATCATGACGTCCCCGGTGGGACGGCCAGCGTGGACAGATTTTCATCTCTGTCGAAAGCCGCCAGGCCGAGCTAGGGTTGAGCAAAGGCCGAACTCGAACAGGTTCGAGTTCGTCCCTGGTCGAACAGCTCGAACAGCCGAACCGAACACTGTTCGGTTCGGCGAACGATTTAGGCCGCCTATGGTGTTCGATGTTCGGCCCAAGGGGCGAACATTTTGAGCACGGAGGCGAACTCGAACATGTTCGACCCGAACATGTTCGAGTTCGCCTTTAATCACGTTCACTATAATCACACCTGTCAGAAAGGGTTTTTTTCGGGCCAGAGAGATAAACAAAGGGTTCGCATGGTGCCCCAGTGTTCCTGCAACCGACCCAGTGCTACAAACAACATCCCATTGTCTAACAAGAGTTATATAATGTATAAAAACCCTACGCTAACGCCGCGCCACTGCTACTACCAACAGCAGGCTCCACCCCAGTCGCTGTGTCATCAGCATCCCCCTCACTCTCCCCCTCCTCCTCCTCCTCCTCCTCCTCCTCCTCCTCATCCTCCTCCTCCTCCTCCTCCTCCTCCTCCTCCTCCTCCTCCTCCTCCTCCTCCTCCTCCTCCTCCTCGTCATCGTCCTCCGCCCCCTCGCCCTCAATGGCAATCTCTGGCGGTGCGACGCCCCTCTGTCGGCGGCCCTCGCCTATCCTCTGGCCGGGGTGTGAGGTGTACCAGGATCGGAGAACCATGATAGCTCGTGTTCTCTGGGAGGCCAGGCGGTGCCGCTTCCAGGAAATGACGTTGCGGCCAAGGGAGAACACCCGCTCGCTCGATGCGGACGTGGCAGGGATCGCGAGATAGTCTCGGGCCATGCGCCTGAGCGTCTGCATGTTGGTGGCGGTGCGCCAGTACTCCAGAGCCGTCACGTCCTCCCGCACCCGCTCCGACAGGTACCTGCTAACCTCGTCATCCTGTAGCATCCCACCCCTCCCCGCCTGCTGGCTCGCTGAGAGACGCGCTGCAAGGCGACGGCGACTAGGGATGTACTGCGCATCCTCGTCGTCATCCGCTGCGTCACCCTCCTCCTCCTCCATCACGGTGGCAAGTGGGGGCGCCCGGGGGGCAAGCGCTGCAGCCCGGGCCTGGTACTCGGCCACGCGATCGCGTACCAGCTGGACCACCTCGCTAGAAGTGGGACGCGGCCTCACCCTCGGCTCGGTCTCGGGATGCTGCGACTCCCAGTGCTCGTCATCAAACCACGCCGCCTTCATGGACGGATCCAAGAAGGTGGCGATCCACAGCTCGTTGGAGGACATGTACGCGTACTTCTTCAAGACCCCCAGCGCCGCCTCGATCATCGGCTTCAGCGCAGCCGATGGCCCCTTCGCAAGGCGCGCCTCCAAAGCGTCGATCAGGCCGTTGTAGTACGGCAACACCATCGACACTGTAGGGTACGCCGCCCCCTCCGCTACCTTCGAGACTCTGGCGAATGGACTGAGGAGTGCCTTGACAGCATGCAGAGTGTCCCAATCTGCGTCTGTCAGGCGCAAGCTCTCAACCTTCTTCTTGTCAGTCGCCGACAAGCCCTGTAGGTTTGTGGGTTTGGATAGGCATGGTTGACACAAGGGAACTTAGGTTAGAGAGGGTGGCGTGTGGTTGTAAAACGCACAACAAACATGACCACACACAGTGTTGTCAGTGCTTTGTCCAGGTGGTAAGGACTGCCAGCACACGTATCCCCCGCACACACACAACCCCGGTCGCGAGAACCCGTCACACACACACACCGCTGTCTGGGCAAAGAAGACGTTGATAGGTTCCTGCAGAACCCCGGCTCGCTCGACCATGTCGTGTGTCGAGCCCCAGCGCGTGGGAGAGTCCTGCACCAGCTTCAGTGCCGGCTTCGGTTTGGCGGGGTTGGCCTGCGCGTTCAAGGTCCGTTGCAGGCCCAGGAACTTCCCTGAGCGCTGCGGCGAGAAGCCCACCCACGACGCCATCTCCCTCAGGATCTTCAGCAGCTTGCGGATGGCGGCTACTGCGAGAGCTGCCTTCACGGCAAGGTTGATCACATGTGCCAGGCAGCTGCACACGCAAAACAGCATGAAAGACAGACAAAAGGGGAAGGGTGAGAGGGTCGGGTCAAAGCAAGCCATGAGGACATACGTTTAGGGACACACCAAAAAAGTCGCAACTAGGCACGCCCGCAGCCCACACGCTCTCTCGCACACACACTCACCGGAAGTGCATGCGCTCGGTGAAGAAGCACCTCCCACCACCCTCCTCCGACAGCCGCCTGAAGGCAGCAATGTTGCTGGAGGCGTTGTCTGACGTCAACCCAAGACAACGCCCCTCCAACTTCCACTGCACCACTGTCTCCTCAACCACCTTCGCAATCTCCTTGCCTCCATGCTGCCCGAGCATCTCACGGAACTCGAGCACCATCGTGCGCAGCTGGAAGGCCTCGTCTATCCAGTGGCCGGTCACCACCAGCCATGCTCTGTTGTTGGGTGCCGTCCATATGTCTATGGTAATCGACACCTTGCACCCCAGCTCCCCCTCCTTCGCCAGCATCTCCGCGATGGCGGACTGGAGAGCGGCCGCCGCAAAGACAACGGTGTCGCGGGAGACCGTCCAACGGGAGGGGATGAAGTTCTTCTGCGCGCAGTTGCGATTTAGCAGGATCAGAAGCTCCCGAAACTGGAAGGGGGGGTGGAGACAAGGGGAGGGGAGAAAGGGGCGTCAAGCATTAAGTGATGGGCGGGAGACCTGCAGGCACAGTATAACAATCGAGCGCAATAAATGGAATAGCAAAGCAAACTTTCACCCTTTCCCTAACCCTCCCACA